CCTCCATGATCCATGCCGGTGCACCCCAGTTTCTGTGGCCGTTCGCCGTGCGCTACGCTTCTCACCAGCTTAACATGTGGCCGCACCCCCAGCAGCCGCAGGTTTCGCCGACCCGTCTTTGGACTGGGTCTCCTGGTGTCGCGTCTGCGTTCCCCGTCTGGGGCTGCCTTGCTCACGTCCGTGCCTCCGGCACGGACAAGCTCACTGCCAACACCCTTCCCTGCGTCTTCCTCGGTTTTCCCCTTGACGCGTCCGACTGGCACTTCTACCACCCGCCGTCTCACCGCTTCTTTCACTCTCGCAACGTCACCTTTGACGAGTCCGTCTCCTTCTACCGTCGCTTCCCCCACCGCGGTCCCTTGGTTACCCCCCCCCTGTTCCTGGTCACTCCTTCCCCGGTGGTCCCTGCCCCCCCCTCCTCCTCCTCCCCGTCCCGCCCCCTCTGGTGTGTCCCACGTCACCCCTCTTCCGTCGATGGTCCCGGTTGAGGAGTCTTCTGACTTTGGTGGTCCTGCGGCGCAGTCCTTGCCGGCTGCCCCTCCCCAGGCGTCCCCTCCTCCACCGCCTCTGCCACCGCCATCGCCCCTGCTGTCGCAGCCGTTGTCACCTCCGCCGCCGCCGTCGCAGCATCCGTTCGTTGACTCTGGGGGTGCTGGTGTTGGAGTGCGTGCTAGTCGCGGTAGCCCTGGGGGTGGTACTGGTGCTCGGAGGGTTTCGAGCCCTTGGGGTGTTCCCTCTGGGGGTGCTAGCGTGGAGTGTGCCAGTGGTAGCCGAGGAGCAGCTTGCGGTCCCGGTGTCGGCGCTGTGCCGCCGCAGCAGCAGTCCCCGCCGGTGTCAGCCCTTCACCTGCTCGGCCTTCCGTCCCCTGACCCTGCGTCTGTTCCTCTCCGGCCGTCTCCTCCTCTTCCCGTCTACGGCCCTATGTTCCCTCCGCCGGACTCGTCCCCGGCTCGTCTTCCCCCTCGTTCCCCCCCAGTGTCCCCTCCTCTGTCTCCTGACCCGACTCCTCCGTCTCACGTCTGGTCTCGCCGTCCCTCCCGTGCTCGTCCTGTCTCCCCTGTCTTGCGCTCTCACCCTATTTTGCTTCGTTCCCACGCGTCTCGTCCTCCCCTTCTCCCGTCGCCTCCTCCGTCCTCCCTTGTTGTTGCGCCCCCCCCTCTGTCTGACTACCTTCGTGCCGCTCGTCCTCTTGTTCCTCGGGTCCTTGCCTCTCTCGTTACAGACCTGTCTGTTCCGGTCTCGTGTCTTGACGCTCTTGTCGCTGCGGTCGCTGACTTTGCCTTTACCCGCCGCCTAGACTACGCCACCGCTCTGGTCACTGACCCTGCCTGTCCTCCGTCTGTCACGGGTGCTCCTGCCCTCGGCAGTGACGTCCTGGAGGACCGCCAGTTCGAGCTTGCTTTCCTCTCCGAGGCTGCTCCCCATCTCTGTTCCATGCTGCTAGTCCCTGAGGGTGACCCAGATGCTTTCGACATCCCGACCCCTCGCACTTACGCTGAGGCGACCTCGGGACCTTGGGCCTCGAAGTGGATAGCTGCCATGGAGCAGGAGATGGCATCTTGGAGATCCACCGGCACCTTTGTCGACGCAGTTCCCCCACCTGGGGTGAACGTAGTCGATGGCCGCTGGATCTTCAAGGTGAAGCGCCCTCCTGGAGAGCCGCCTGTGTTCAAGGCCCGCTACGTGGCTAGAGGGTTCAGTCAGCGTGAGGGGGTGGACTTCTTCCAGACCTTCGCTCCGACCCCGAAGATGATTACTCTTTGGGTTTTGTTACACTTAGCTGCTCAGCGTGACTACGAGCTTCACTCCCTCGACTTCTCCACTGCCTTCCTTCAGGGCAGCCTATACGAGCAGGTCTACTTGCGTCGCCCTCAGGGCTTTACTGGCACCTTCCCTCCTGGGACCCAGTGGCTCCTGCGGCGCCCCGTCTACGGCCTGCGCCAGGCTCCCCGTGAGTGGCACGACACGCTGCGTGCTACCCTTGCTGACCTGCAGTTCTTTCCGTCTTCCGCAGACCCCTCACTCTTCGTTCGTGCTGGCGAGACTCCGTTCTACATCCTTGTTTACGTCGACGACCTGGTCTTTGCCACAGCAGACACGGACACACTGGCCTCCGTGAAGGCAGAGCTGCTGAAGAGACACACGTGCACTGACCTTGGAGAACTGCGCCGTTATCTTGGCTTGCAGATCTCCAGGGACAGAGCAGCGCGCACCATCGCCCTGACTCAGTCACACTTGGTGCGCCAGGTCCTTCAAAGGTTCAGCCTTCAGTTCTCCTCCTTACAACCCACCCCTCTGCCTGTAGACCACAGACACTCTGCTCCAGTTTCTGAGGAGTCGGTAGAGTCCAGTGGCCCCTATGCAGAGCTGGTGGTTTGCCTCATGTACCTGATGACTTGCACTCGCCCAGATCTCGCGTACCCTCTCAGCATCCTGGCTCGCTTTGTGGCCACAAGCAGACACCGACCGCAGCACTGGTCTACCGCTAAGAGGGTTTTGCGTTATCTTGCTAGTACATCAAGCATGGGGTTAGTGCTAGGAGGACGTAGGCCAGTGGTCCTTACTGGACACACAGACGCTTCTTGGGCAGACGACGCCGAGACACTTAGGTCTTCCCAGGGCTACTGCTTCAGCCTTGGTTCAGGTGCCGTCTCATGGAGAGCTACCCGCTCTTCGTCTGTTTCCCAGTCCAGCTGTGAGGCCGAGATCTACGCTGGTGCCATGGCGGCACAGGAGCTTCGCTGGCTGACCTTCTTGCTCACTGACTTAGGTGAGCGGCCTAGCTCTGCCCCGGTCCTGTTTGCTGACAATAGGGCCATGATCCTCCTGTGTCAGGAGCCTCGACTCGAGGGCAGAGCGAAGCATATCCAGCTGCGATACTTCCTCCTGCGCGAGCTACAGCAGCGACGCTAGGCTCGCGTAGTACACTTGGCCTCAGGCGCCAACACAGCTGATATCTTTACGAAGGCGCTTGCGCCTAAAGATCATCAGCGGCACTGTGTACAGCTTGGTCTAGTTCCTGTAGCCTCTCACTTGCTAGGGCCTTGACTTTGTACTGTCCTTTATATGTGTACTCAGACTGGACTTGTGTCCTCTCCCAGTGGCTGGACTAGTAGTGCTGCCCTGGTCTTGTTCTTGCCTTGTCTGTACTCCTTCTAACTGGTCTTTTAGACCCTTGTCTCAGTGGCTGGACTAGTAGTGCCGCCCTGAGCTGCTTGTTCAGGACCTGCCCCTATGCAGTCTAGGGGGTGTGTCAAACATGTGTATCTCCTATGTTTGCATAGACTGTATAGGGTCACCTCTTAGAGGGTACAACGCTTAGGTATATTCACCTGTACTCTCTCTCTACTAACGATTCATTCTGTTTTGAGAGAAAGTACCTATTCGCTAATGTACCTGTTTGTCACTATCGCGCTATGCGCCCTAGATGATAATGAAGAGATGCGACTGTTCGCGTGATTGAGACGACTGTCCTATAACGAGTGCTATTTGCTGACGTCATCCTACGGACTTATCTTCTACAGTAGGATTCGACACTATCTATCGATAAGTGACTTACAGAAATGCTAAGTATGAATTATACTACAACACCTTTTAGGCCACACTTAATTTTCAGGGTCGGTACACAAAGGCACCCTGAAAACACCTTGAAAATCAGGGTTGGTACTGTTTTTTATTTTTTAGCCCCGTTATTTTCTCTCTCTCTCTCTCTCTCTCTCTCTCTCTCTCTCTCTCTCTCTCTCTCTCTCTCTCTCTCTCTCTCTCTCTCTCTCTCTCTCTCTCTCTCTCTCTCTCTCTCTCTCTCTCTCTCTCTCCAGATTCCAACGCTGATTTTCTAGGGTTGGTACAAAAAATCCCCTGAAGATCAGCAAAATCAGGAAAAAAAATCATGAAATATGAGGGCCTGGAATACGCCCTTTTGCGGGTTATCGGTACCTATATAATTGTAATGATGGTTGGATGGGGGACCAATGCACAAGGGGAGTGAGGTATGAAAGAGGAGAAACGATGAGGGAAGAGGGATGAAAGGAGAGGCACAGGTAGAGCCGTGTTGTGTAAAGGAGTGGAGCATGATGCACTCCAAAACTTCACACTAATGTAATTAGTAAGCTCTTCTAAAGATTCACATCGCCCGCCAATGTACACCTCCCAAATCGCTTTTGCGACAACTCAGTGCGGTTTTCTGTACATGGTCAACTCGTTTTGCGACTTTCTGCAGCTCTGTAGGCGCACGACCGTCAATGTCACTAGACCCAAGGTTGAGCCTCTCAATCGCGCGGCTCCTTCGTCCGCGGGTTAACCTCGGGTCAGACCCGAGGTACAGAATCTACTTTGAGAGTGGGCGTAACGAGCACTGACTGATGTTTCGGGGATTCTGGAGCGAGTTTTAGACCCTCAGGTCGCGCTCTAAGATCCGAGGCTGGCAAAAATTGCCTCAGATCTTCCGGAAAACTGACGGCTGCAGCCAGTCAGCTGACAAACCGAACAACAAATAATTTCGTGCGCAAATGAACTTCCATCAATCAGCAACTCGCAGTTTTCTGGTGGACTCGCGAAGTTTGGCCCTTTGTAGTCGTAACCCTCCTTATGCGACTGTTCGCGACTGTGCAGCGGCTGCACAGCACAATCAAGAATATAAAACCCGCAGTTAGGTTCTGACAGACCGCGGCTCTGGCCGCGGGTCTGCCTCGGGTCTGAGACTCGCTCCGGAATCGCCCTTACCAAAGTCCCTAGAGGGGGAACACGAAGGCTGTAGACAAAGCAGAGGAAATTAGTGAACGCAGAACGCAGGGTTCATGTGGCACTTCAGAGGAAAAAAAATCCACCTCGTCGCAACACCCAGAATCTTGCAGCAATTGCCAGTGGGGGGAATCACATTTTGTGTCTGATCTGAACCAATGGTGCTCTCTCCAACCGAACCAGCCCAAACCTCTTCCATCCCTCCCAACCCAGCATAACCCACTCCATCCAGAGCCAACATTGAGCAGAGCCCGCTGGTCTGTCAGCAAGCTGCCTCGCTCGTGAGCCCCAAGATGCCTTCCTAAACCGGACATAAATCTCGGCTGTAGAGTTGGAACCTGTGATGTTCACGTGCAGACTCAGCTTCAGTTTCGGCCTCGGCCGTGTCCTCTCAAGACGCTCTCCTCTCCTCCCTTCCTGTTCGAGCTTTCGTCCTCGCAGGAGAGTCGCCATGGCGGAAGCTGCGGTGAGTACAGATCTGGCGGCCATTGATAAGAAAATATCGAGTAAAGAAAGACATACTTTACCCGCATTGTTCTTTGTCTTACCGGAATCTTGACATCCTTAGTTCTCTCGTCGTCAATATCCTCATTATTCAGTTTCCCGACATGGAAAATATGGTGCATCACCTTTACATCTTTACTTTTCTTTGTGATGGCAGAGCGGCAAGTTCGAGGGCGAGTCGCAGGGCACGGCGCGAGGCAACATGGACGCGGTGATGAAGGGGTGGTTCTCGGAAGTCAGCCCCATGTGGCCAGGTGCGCAATGGTGACGTCAGTCACTCGGTTCATGCGCCATGTCAGCAGTGTGCTGGCACGGCGTGTTGAGTCTTACGAGGCGACGCTGTCCAACTCAAAGCCTTGTCTCCTGCTGCGTGCTTTTCGCGCCAGCTGTCTTCACGCCATAACATCTTAGTTTTAGGGTTTTAGTTTCCGCGAGCAAGATTGATGTTCGCTCCTCGAATTGCCCGATTCACTTACCCGTTTTTCGGCCCTCATCGCGCGTAATGGAGAGGCGCGTTCGCTCAAGATCGCCAAGGCCCTCTTTTTATTGAGGGCCGGCTTCTGAGGATGCTTTTTATAATAGTTCATTCCACCACAAGCACTTTCGGCCTCCGTGCGCGTGCGTGCAGGCGAGGCGCACTCGCTCAAGATCGACAAGGTGCTCTTCGAGGGCAAGTCCGACTTCCAAGACGTCGCCATCTTCCAAGTGCGCGCTGCGATCGTTGCGGTGCAACCGATGCCATGCTACTGTTGCGAAGTTACCATTTTTATGTGACTATTCTGGTGTAAGCATTTGTGCTTACACTCGTAGATTCGCCTGGACGTCAATCTTCTGGCATCAATGCGCGGCAGTGTCGTTGCCGCAGTGTGGTTGATGATAGTTCCTCCATTTGGCTTTCCCCCCTGGCATCATCCGCGATCCCACCTTCCCAAAATGTCACCTCCCCCAGTCGGAGACGTACGGCAAGGTGCTGGTGCTGGACGGCGTGATCCAGCTGACGGAGCGCGACGAGTGCGCGTACCAGGAGATGATCACGCACGTGCCGCTCTGCTCCATCCCCAACCCCAAGAAGGTCCGTGCGCCCGACACTGAGACACCCGCGGCCAGTGCGTTCCAACAGTCGCAGCACCGTCCGTCACTCAATGCTGGCCGCGCAGTCCATCAATTGTGCTCTTGTTTGCCGTCGCTGTTGCTCATTGCTCATTGCTCATTGCTCATTGCTCCCTGCAGTATCTTGTTTCCCCGGCTCGCGTGCGTACCAGGTGCTGGTGGTGGGCGGCGGCGACGGCGGCGTGCTGAGGGAGGTGTCGCGGCACGTGGGGGTGGAGCAGATCGACATCGTCGAGATCGACGGCATGGTCATCGACGTGAGTTGGTGCGGGGCATGGTCGTGTCGGAACTGACGGGGGGGAGGGGGATTGATGTGAGCCTAGCAGATGGTCAGAGTGGAGATTAGCCATGGACCTATGTGACTTGAGGGAGCCCTGCATGCTCAATCTCCTTTCCACTCACCTGGGGCCATATCTTTCGAAACAAGGACTGGGCTTTGCACTGCACATGGGCAGCTGATGATCTTGAAATCAACTATGCATGCAGGATCAACCGCCTGACTCCCGCTGATGATCACACCTGGTCTGATGCCCGTGCTTCATGCCCCATGCCCCACATCGTCTGCTCCATGCTCCACGCTCCACCTCCTAGTCTCTCCACGTGATTTTTGGTGCACAACTCATCGCCATCCTAGATTGCGCAATGCTTTGGAGCACCTTTTCACGGCGCACATGGGCAGCTGATGATGTTGAAATCAACTACGCATGCAGGATCAACCGCCTGACTCCAGCTGATGATCACATTCACTCTGATGCCCATGGTTCATGGTTCATGCTGTGTGCTCCATGCGTGATTCTTTAGGCACAGCGTGATTCCTTCGCTTTCATCCCACCTTGCTGCCTGCTCCTCCCGAGGAATGGAGGTGATGGCCTTTCATACACCCCCGGGCCACGGGCAGCTGATGATCTGATGTTAACTATGCATGCAGGATCAACCGACTGACTCCCGCTGATGATCACACCCAGTCTGATGCCCGTGCCTGTTGTTCCACTCTCTATGCCCCATTCCATGTGCTCTCTCCAGCGTTATGTGCATGCCTCGTATTCCGTGTTGCGTGCTCATGCCATGCGACGTGTCTCTCACGGCGCACACGGGCAGCTGATGATCTGGAATTGAATACGGCATGCAGGATCAACCGCCTGACTCCCGCTGATGATCACACCCAGTCTGATGCCCATGCTCCCTCAAGTGTGCCTCATATCTCATGTCCCATGCTCCATGCTCCATCCACAATGCTCTATCTTACAAGTGTCTGATGATTCCTGCTCCCACGAGCTTGCTGCGTGATCCCCCAAGTGCAAACATGATCTTCCTCTCTGTGGGCAGCTGATGATCTTGAGTAGAACTATGCATGCAGGATCAACCGCCTGATTCCAGCCTGATGATCACACCCTGTCTGATGCCCATGCTCCCTTCTGTCTGCCAGTTTATGCCTTTGAGGCGGTTCAATAGCATGCTCTATGCCCTAGGCGCCATGCTTTATCTCCTGTGCCTCCATGTTCCCTGTAGTATGCATCGAGTCCGCCATCTTTTCCCACCGCACATGGGCAGCTGATGATCTTGAATATTATTACACATGCAGGATCAACCGTCTGACTCCAGCTGATGATCACATTCACGCTGATGCCCATGCTTCCCCGCCCCTACGCCCCATACCGTATTTCCTGCGCTTTCATATTCCCTCTAGCTTGCATCCTATCCTGAGAAGTAGAGAAGTTCCCTCCCACACACACCCCACACATGGGCAGCTGAACTCTGGTATTTACGTATTTGATCCCTACTGTGCTTCTCCACTCTCTCATGCCCATCTTCTCTTCCCTCTTCTAGTGTGCAGTGCGCCTCCATCACGTTTCTTAACCCCCCCAACCGCCCGTCCTTCCACTCTGCCCTTTCCCACGCTGCCCTGCCCTTGTCCTCACCCAATGCGCGTGCACAGGTGTCCAAGGAGCATTTCCCAGCTGTGGCCATCGGCTACAAGGATCCTCGTGTCAATGTGACTGTAGGCGACGGTGAGCCCACCACCATTTCACGATGCCACATCCCTTATGCCCTCCCCTCGCAGCTAATACGCCGACTTCCTTCCAATCACCACCCTTCTCCCATCAAGGAGCATCGCATGCCCATCTCTCACATTTTATTGTTTCCTTATCTGCAATCTCCTTTGGGTTCTTTGTGTTGCTGTCCCCTTACCCAATGCATGATCCGCTGCTACACCTTCCTTGTGTCTGTCTCCTTATGTCTCCTTATGTCTCTCACCTGTTATCTCCGTGTGTCTCTCATCTGCGTATGTCACCCGCCAGGCGTGGCGTTCCTCAAGGAGTGTCCAGCCGGCACGTACGACGCCATCATTGTCGACTCCTCCGATCCCATCGGTCAGGCCTCTGCTCCCACTTTTCTGATCCTGGTGATACTCCTACTGGCCGATCCGTGCCATCTTCGTCTGGCCCCTCTTTTCTGCTGCCCTCGCCATCCAACCCGTCGTCCACTCATTGAGTCGTGGCTCGTCCATCTTCCTTGTGCTGGCTTTCCCCTTGCATGTCCAGCACAGCAGCTCTTTGAGCGGACCTTCTGCGAGTCCATGGTGCCATGTGGTTTTCCTCAAACCCTTCTCTCTTTCTTCTCGTGCTGACCCTCTTTCCCCTCCCCCCCCCTCCTCCCTCCCTCCCCTCCCCCCCCGCAGGTCCAGCGCAGCAGCTGTTTGAGCGGCCGTTCTTTGAGTCGATGGCGCGCGCGGTGCGGCCCGGGGGCGTGGTGTGCACCCAGGCAGAGTCGCTGTGGCTGCACCTGCCCATCATCAAGGACATCGCACTCGCCTGCCACCACGCCTTCAAGGGCTCCGTCAACTACGCGTGGACCAGCGTCCCCACCTACCCCAGGTCGCGCATCACCTGCCTCACGGGCTCCGGGCTGCCTGCTTGAAAGCTGGGAAGGGGAGTGTCCCGAAATTTGGGTTGGTTTCCAGGGAATTTGGAATGGGTTGCTGGACTCTGCTGCTTTTCCCTCCCCCATCACTTTTTTGAATTTATGCTAGATCAATCAATGCCTTGGGTGATTTCTGGATCCCCCACCCTTCCTCCTTTCCGGTTCCTGGCAGTGGCACGATTGGGTTCATGGTGTGCTCCACCCCGGGCCCAGAGGTCAACTTCAAGGTCCCCTGCAACAAGATCGAGGACCAGCCTGAACGACCTCACCACCTTCCTAAGTTGCCGCCCCTTAAGTACTACAACTCTCAAGTAAGTGCTGCTGCTTAAAGCCCTTGACTAAAATAGCACACCCTATTCAAGTTGGGCCCAGCTTGAACAAGAAAGGGGGGTTGGTTTGAAAAAGAGTTGGGGGTTTTTTTTTTGGGCACCGGGCTATGTTTGAAGTAGATTCGGAAGCAGTTTGTGCGTGAAAGGTTTCTAATTCGGGGCGGAACCACTGTTCACTTGCGAATGTTTCGACGATCTTGCTCGTCGTACAGATCGCGAAGTGTCGCACAGTTTCTGAACCCCCCTGTGAAACCCCAGAAGCAAACCTGGTCCCAACTTGAAAATCGAGTTGGGTTCCGGGGAAGAATGTCGCGCATGCGATCCCTTCTGACACACGAGTCGCTCAAGTCGCGAGCACGTCAGAAGTGTCGCACTGTACATTTCGCTAAGCCCATTGTTGCGTCAGCCAATCATAATCGAGCAACACATCTCAGACTCCTTGCCATTCGAAATTCACAGCAGTAATTCTACTCAGTCATCCTCTACTTTGACGAATTCTAGAAGGCAAAGGTTCAAGCTGGGCCCTCCTTTGCTATTTTAGCCTGGGGCTTTAAGAATGTAACCCATTTGTTGGTTTCTTTTGTTCGTTATTGCTGTGCCATCCACACTTGCAACTAACACTTGGTGTCCCATCTTTTATTTTTGCAGGTGCATTCTGCTGCCTTTGTTCTCCCCCAATTCGCCAAGGAAGCTCTTGAGCCCCACCTCACTAAGTGACAACAAGGAAAGGTTTAGGTGGAAATGCTGGAACTATGTTAATAAATTTTCAAGCGAAACTGCATTATTCAGCACAAGGGGATCCGCCTCGTTTGCGTCCCGTCATCTTCATCGCCGTCTTCGTTAGACAGACTGGTCTTTCGTCAGTCACAAATTGACTGACCAATATCTGCCAAGAGAACAAAACGTGAATCAGGAGGAACCACCCAGGCCGACCACACTCGCAGCAATCCACCCCAGCGACTAACGGAGCCCTGGGAACTCCGAGCAGCAGGCAGGCAGCAAAGTGACGGAACAAGGGAGAGGGGAGGTGAACGTCAGTAGGTTTCGACTTGAACAAGCTGACTGAAACGAGAGCGAAAAAAGAACACGTGAGGCAAACAGAAGCTCCATTCGCAGACGTTCACTTCACGGACGAAACCTGAAAAGCAGTTAGTGGTAGGAGCAGTGCAGGCGTGCGCCGGCGACGGGCAGCCAGCAGCAAGAGAGTATCTTATCCCGCTCCCGCTCCCCAAACTCCGCCTGGATTCCCGCAACCTTCCCGCGCCAACGGATCTCGAAAACCCTCCTGTAGTCGCTATGTCGCAGAGATTTAGCCCTCCTACCCCTTCTACCTCTCTTCTACCTCACATTTAGTTCTCTAGTTTTGAGCAATCCGCCATGGTTGTGCTCTGAGCGAGATATGGAGAATGGAGAGACGGACGCTCTCGACGAAGATCCCTCACAGCACGCGCATAGATATCAGGAGCGACAACAGCCCGCCCCGTCGCACCACGTCGCCGCTGTCGACAGTGCGACGACCCTTGCGACGTTTTCACCCGTCGGCTCGTCGCCTCGCGCCGGTGCGTCGTCACATCATGGTCCGAGCGTCGGCGGTGGCGCTAGTGGTACGTGCCCAGGCCCACTGTGCTGCATCCTTTTTTAGCCGAACGAGTCAACTGTGGTGCGTTTCCACTGCGTCGAACGAGCCAGCTGTGCCGTCCCGTCGACTCGTGTCATGCGACTGTTTCGCCCTCTCGACTAGGTCGACTTGAATCTAGATCCCGGCGTCTCGTCTCCGGCGTCTCATTGACTCCCTCCTCCTCCTCCTCCTCCTCCTCCTCCTCCTCCTCCTCCTCCTCCTCCTCCTCCTCCTCCTCCTCCTCCTCCTCCTCCTCCTCCTCCTCCTCCTCCTCCTCCTCCTCCTCCTCCTCCTCCTCCTCCCCATGCCTCCACGCCTCGCCTTCGCCTCGTCCCCGGGCATCCATGCGTCGTCGCCGCCTCGTCCGCGAGTCCCCTAGTCGCCTTCTGAGCCATGCGGCCGTTACGAACGGTGCGTCTGACATTAGAGACGTCGCAAAGATCATCGGAACGCGCGGCAGGCGCGCCGGCGTTAGAGCTGCATAGAGCGTCTCTTTGCTTTGGAGGCAGCGAGGTTAGAGCCCTGGCTTTAAGGGATCTATCCGCCAGCCTCCCTATTCCGCTGATTTCGGGCGCGCGGGATGGGGTCTGACGGGGTCACATAGCTCGCTGCGTTGGGAGAAGTCCAACGGCAACGCTTCAGTGGCGCTACAATGTCGGATCGCTGTCATCCTCTCTATACAAGGGACCTCCAAGTTGGATTGAGAGCCTGGCGCGATTCCGCTGTGGCGTCCATGCCTCCTCTCCGTTCCTCCTCCTCAGAGAGTCGCGGAATTTCTTCAGTCTTGTGCAGAGCAATACAGACGTGCTTCGTCCCTTGTCCTCTCATTGTTCTCTCTTTCTTTGCCAGCTTTCCTTCCCTCCCACCGCCGTTCTCTCTCTTGCATCCTCTTTCCTCCTCTCCCAACCTTGCTCTCCCACTCGTTCTCCCTCTTCCCCCCTTGCTCTCCCACTCGTTCTCCCTCTCCCTCCCTTGCTCTCTCACTCGTTCTCCCTCTCCCTCCCTTGCTCTCTCACTCGTTCTCCCTCTCCCTCCCTTGCTCTCTCACTCGTTCTCCCTCTCCCTCCCTTGCTCTCTCACTCGTTCTCCCTCTTCCCCCATTTCTCGCTCAAGATTGCCCCTTCTCTCCCCCTTGCCGTCTGTTCTCTCCGTCGCCCCAGGCCCCGCGTCACAGACCACAGGTCAGCCCGCTGAACGCACCGTCTCACCTCACGCGCCAGCATACGCCCAGGGGCCGCCATCTGTAACTCTCCAGCAACAGCTGAACCAGCAAGAGCTGCAGCAACAGCCCCAGCAAGTATGGCAGCAGCAGCAGCTGCAGGCACAAGACCCAGCAGCATTCGTTCTCGATCGCCAAAGGGTACAGCCACGTGATTTAGGGTTTCAATTGGATGCTGTCGCTGCTCCAGTGACGCTGGCAACACCAGCAGCAGCACAAGCTAGGTCGGAAGGAGGGCAAGTAGGGATAGAGGCTGCTGAGGTTGTGGGAGTGAGAACAACGCTTGCATCTGTTGCACCAGGTCCGGGATACCACGCATCTGAAACAAGAGTTGCAACACCAGTTCTTGCCAGTTCTGTTGTGCCGCCTGCTGCTGCTCCTTCTGCTGCTGCTGCTGCTGCTGCTGCTGCTGTGGCGTCTGGAGGAGGTACAGCTGTTGAGGGCGACAGCAGTGATACCGGGGAAACGATCACTGGTGCGCTGCTGCAGCAGCAAGCAGCACGCGGCGCAGCAGGAAGTCGTTCGTCTCAGCCCGTTTTCCTCGCTGCTGCTTCTTCTCCCCCGGCTTCCAGCGTGGCCTTTGCTGCTTCACACGGCCCCGCTGTGTGTTTCTCGCCCCACCGGCGTTCTTCAGCGCCACAGGCTTGTTTGACAGCTGTGGCAGCAAGTGTGGCTAGTCCCAACGCAGCAGCAGGGCCGCTCATTGCGTCGGCTGCACATGCCACCAGCCTGCATGCCCCGCCTGCCACTTGCTCACCCATTACAAGCCCTGTTGCGAAGCAGGTTCCAAGTCCCGTTACTAGTCCTATTACAAACCCTGTTACAAACCCTGTTACAAGTCCTGTTACAAGCCCTATAGCGGATAAGGTCGGTGCAGGGCCTGTGGGCACTGGTGGTACAGGTCAGCTGCACGGCTCACTGACTGGCACTGCTGCCTCCCAGCATGCACCTTCGCCAGCACCAGCAGTGGCGGCAGGAGCAGCAGCAAGAGCATCGCCAGCAGGAGCCGCAGGAGGAGCAGGAGCAGGGAAAGGGAGCAGTGGCGCCCAGTTACCCAGTGCGAAACTAACAGCAGGAGGAGCAGAGAGTGCGTCGCAGCTGTCAGCAGCACTGGCTGCAGCAGCAGGGGGAGGAGCAGCAGGGGGAGGAGCAGGGGGCAGCACGGGGGCGCAGCTGAATGCAGCGCTGGCAGCGGCGGGGGGCAGCAGTGCGCAGCTGTCCGCTGCTCTGGCTGGGCTGACCGGCAGTGGCAGAGGCGGCCCCTCCAACGAGCCGAGACTCAGGGACGTGCTCAGCGACCCGCTCACGTGAGTACGAGTGCGGTTGGCTTGGCGTGATGATGACTGGCTATTGTAGCAGCGTAGTCACGAGTGGGTCGTGTTGGTACGACAGGCAGACCCGTGGAGGGTTTGCTTCCTCGCGACTCCCTCATGTGCGAGTCTCACATGGCTCCGACGGCTGATTTGTCGGGAGCGAGCACAGCTCGTGTGTGGAGCTACTGTATGCATTTCCCTCGTGCCACTGTAGCTATTGGAGGGTGCACGCGCCTCAGTAATGCGGCTGTCTCGAGCTGAACCAGCTGCTTCTCATTCGCTGCTCGTCCCACTCTCACCATCTCTCTCACCATCTCTCTCACCATCTCTCTCACCATCTCTCTCACCATCTCTCTCACCATCTCTCTCACCATCTCTCTCACCATCTCTCTCACCATCTCTCTCACCATCTCTCTCACCATCTCTCTCACCATCTCTCTCACCATCTCTCTCACCATCTCTCCCTCCTCCACCATCTCTCTCACCATCTCTCTCACCATCTCTCTCACCATCTCTCTCACCATCTCTCTCACCATCTCTCTCACCATCTCTCTCACCATCTCTCTCACCATCTCTCTCACCATCTCTCTCACCATCTCTCTCACCATCTCTCTCACCATCTCTCTCACCATCTCTCTCACCATCTCTCTCACCATCTCTCTCACCATCTCTCTCACCATCTCTCTCACCATCTCTCTCACCATCTCTCTCACCATCTCTCTCACCATCTCTCTCACCATCTCTCTCACCATCTCTCTCACCATCTCTCTCACCATCTCTCTCACCATCTCTCTCACCATCTCTCTCACCATCTCTCTCACCATCTCTCTCACCATCTCTCTCACCATCTCTCTCACCATCTCTCTCACCATCTCTCTCACCATCTCTCTCACCATCTCTCTCACCATCTCTCTCTCACCATCTCTCTCTCACCATCTCTCTCTCACCATCTCTCTCACCATCTCTCTCACCATCTCTCTCACCATCTCTCTCACCATCTCTCTCACCATCTCTCTCACCATCTCTCTCACCATCTCTCTCACCATCTCTCTCACCATCTCTCTCACCATCTCTCTCACCATCTCTCTCACCATCTCTCTCACCATCTCTCTCACCATCTCTCTCACCATCTCTCTCACCATCTCTCTCACCATCTCTCTCACCATCTCTCTCACCATCTCTCTCACCATCTCTCTCACCATCTCTCTCACCATCTCTCTCACCATCTCTCTCACCATCTCTCTCACCATCTCTCTCACCATCTCTCTCACCATCTCTCTCACCATCTCTCTCACCATCTCTCTCACCATCTCTCTCACCATCTCTCTCACCATCTCTCTCACCATCTCTCTCACCATCTCTCTCACCATCTCTCTCACCATCTCTCTCACCATCTCTCTCACCATCTCTCTCACCATCTCTCTCACCATCTCTCTCACCATCTCTCTCACCATCTCTCTCACCATCTCTCTCACCATCTCTCTCACCATCTCTCTCACCATCTCTCTCCGGCGGCTTCACAGAAACGAGTGTCTTTTAACACGTCTTTCGATTGTGTCGTTTGTATGGCCCTGTGTCTCTGCGCAACGTGTGTGTGTGGCATGCGTGTTTATGTGTGTGTGCAGAGGTCGCCTGCTCGATGACGCGGTGGTGGGGTGCTGTGGGCATTCTTTTGGAGGAGCAACGCTCGCAGTCGTGCGCGAATCGGTGAGCCTCCCACCTTGCTGAATGGACCACGCCATTCCTATTCGTTCACTGCTGCGCAACCAACCGCTTGAGCTGCGCTCAATGCAATGCATTTCCTTAGAGCCGATTGCCGGGTTCGCCGCCATCTGTTGTTGCTCCCCACCCCCATTGGACGCTTTGCTTCTTTAGCTGCTTCTCCCAACCCCATCCTCCTCTCCCAACCCAATCCTATTCTCCCCAAAACCTTCCCATGCCTGTCCCCTCTCCCCCTTCTCCCACCCCTTCTTCTGCTCTCCTCCTTCCCCACCCGTACCCCTCCTGTCCTCCCTCGCCCCCTCCTCCCTTTCCAAGCCCAAACCCTCAATGCAACCTGGCTCATGTGGAAGAGCGAACGTCTCATCATGCTTCGCCTTCAACCTGCACCACCAGTCAGATGCTCCAATCCAAGGCCCTCACTGCACCCGATCCATCAGAGCACCTCTGTGGAGTTTGCAGTGCGCACCGATCACCCCTCAAGGCCTACCCCAAACTTGGTCCCTCTCCCCCGTCCCCACTGCTCCCATTCCCTCAAAGCACATACCTAGAGCGTGCGACCCACATTGACCCTCCAGGCTTTGGGCGCCTCAACACGAACATCATTCACTGTCCCACCTCCCTCCCATCGCCCCCGTGCTTTCATCCCAACCCCCTGTGCACGTATTCACCCAGAGCACGTGTCCCGAGTGCGGCGCGCACATCGACCCCGCCACGCTCACCCCCAACCTCACTCTGCGTGCCGCCGTCGCTGCCTTCCGCCGCGAGTCCAGCTCCCTCGCTGCGGCCGCCATGGCTGCTGCTGCCGCCGCCGCTGCTCAGGTAATGTCACGCCTGCTTTGCAGTGGCCTTTGAGTCATCTCAAAGAGCCCCGCTCCCTCGGTTATGAGTGTGCCTACTTTTGTTTCGAGTGACCCTTTTGAGTTTACCGTTGAGGGGAAGTGGAGGGGTCAGGAGTCCAGCTCTCTCACTGCTGTGTCCATGGCTGCCACCGCTGCTGCTGCTGCTTGTGGTGGTGATGCGCTGCCCCGGTGAAGTGAACGAGCCTTCTTTTCTTCGTCTGTCCCTTAAGTCTCAGCTTCGTCGCCTTCTCCTGACTTCCCCTCACCTATCCCCTCCCTCCCTTCTCTCTTCTCCCCCCCTTGCCTCTGCCTATCCCACCCACCGTTCCCCCCTTCTCTGCCCTCCGCCATCCCATGTCAACCCGTCCCTCAGCTCTCTGCCGACACCCCCAACCACCACCACGCCTCCTCCACCTCCCAGCACTCCCCCTCGCTCTCCTTCGCCGTCGCTGCTGCGGCCGCTGCTGCCACGGCAGCCGGCTCGCCACCAGCCGCCATGGGCAGAGCGGGCCCCTCTCTCCTCTCCCCCTTCACTGCTGTGGCTGCCTCCCCCTCAGCCTCTAAACCCGCAAGCCCCCTCCAAACCTTGCCTGGTCCGGCCCGAACCAGCTACGCCGCTCCAGGCTCGGTAAACGCAGCAAGTCTCCGAGGTTCGGCCGAGGCTGGGCAGCAGGGTGCGCAGCAGGGTGGGCAGCAAAGCACCCACCCCGCACCTGTCCGCCCGGTTCGGTCGTCCAGCACGGCGCAGTTCCCGTTTAGAGTGAACGACATCGTGCTTATAAAGGGGAACAAGCGCACGCCGGAGCACTTCATCGGGCGTAAGGCCATCATCACCACGCAGTGCCTCAACGGTTGGTACATGGTGCGCACCCTCGATGGCGCAGCGGACGAGGTGCGCCTGCAGTACCGGTCGCTGGAGAAGATACAGGCAGCAGGCGGAGGGGCCGGAGCTGGGGGAGGAGGAGGAGGGGGTGGTGGTGGAGGAGGGGATGGGGTGGGTGCAGGTGGGGGTGCAGGCGGGAGTGGGGTGACAGGTGGGGGCGGAGGCGGAGGAGGACGAGGCGAGGGGGAGAATCCTCGCCTGCTGCCCCCGGCAGGGGTGCCGAGGGGGCGAGGAGGGGGGCACGGGGGGGCGCGCAGGGAACCCAAAGCTAGTGAGTGCTGCCGGGTGATCTATGTACGACTTGCCTGAACTTTGGTACATCCGCCTTCCTCAACCGTTGCTGAGGTGACTTTGCGTCTTGAATGCGCTAGCAGCTGTACTGGTGCTCCCTTTGTTCCACATCACATGCACGATCCTCCCCTTCCAGCCCGTCCACCCACCCCCTCCTCCCACCCCCTTCGTCCACCCCCTCCTCCACCCGCCCCTGCTTCCCCCCTTTTCCCACCACTCTCACCACCCACCCATCGAAGAGCCCTCCATCCCAGCTTACCCACACACCCCCAACCCAAATCCCTCCCGCCCTTCCCCCGCTCTCCCTCCCTTTCCCTAGACTAATCCGCTCTTTGCCGTTTCTCCCTCTTCCCTTAACAGTGGGGCGCGGCAGGGGAGGGCGCGGGGCGGGGAGGAGTGCGACGACAGCGTCGCCCATCAGCACGCCGGTGTCGTTGTGCGGCAGCCTCTCCACGCCCAACGCCTCAGTCTGGACCGGTACCCCTCTCAGTCTGGGAGCACTGTGACGCCTGGTAGCTGTGCTGTGCGCTTCTCTTGACCATTGCTTTGCGGCCTTTGGATACGCGCGTGGCCTTTGGATACACGTGTGGCCTTTGGATACACGTGTGGCCTTTGGATACACGTGTGTCCTTTGGATACACGTGTGGCCTTTGGATACACGTGTGGCCTTTGGATACACGTGTGGCCTTTGGGTACACGTGTGGCCTTTGGATACACGTGTGGCCTTTGGGTACACGTGTGGCCTTTGGATACACGTGTGGCCTTTGGGTACACGTGTGGCCTTTGGGTACACGTGTGGCCTTTTCCTGGTCAGGCTTGCAGTTTGCAGCCCCACGTGCTGTGAATTGGAGGCCATGTGATCTCCCTATGTAGCGTTCGTGAAGCACGTTCTGGGGTTGTTCGCTCTCCCGACGCCGCCCATCTTCTTCTCTTGCTATCGCCGCCTGCTTTCATGCCCAGCATTCTTGACATTCCCCCCACCCTCCTCCCCAACCTCTGCCGCGCTGGCCCTTGCTCACACAGGTTCGGTGGCAGGTTCGGCAGCAGCTTCGGATGCAGCAGGGGGTGCGTCTCGCTCCGTGTCCGTGTCTGGCGACTTTGGCATGTGCAGCGGGCCAGCAGGGGAGGTGGATCAAGGGGCCATGTCCACCACGCCTAGAAGCGGCATGTCCCATGTGGCCCACATGTCACATGCCACTCACATGCATGCTGGCACTACGGCCACGGCACCTCATACCAGCATGTCAACACCACATCACACCATGTCCTCCGCTCACCGCAGCACATCAACGGCCCCGCAGAGCACTGTGGTGCATCCAACAGCCACCAGTGCGCCCACCACGCCTGCATCCATGAGCCATCCTGCCACGCCTGTACCTGCCAGCCCAGGTTCGGCCGTACCTGCCAGTCCTGGGTCGGCCGTACCAGCAAGCCCAGGCTCGGTTGTAGGGGCGCAACGAGGCTCGGCCATGGCTGCGAGTCCAGGTCCGGGCGCTTACCGCCCGTTGTTCCAAACTGGCCGGGGGTATGTGGCGCAGAGAGCCGATCCGGGAGGAGGTTTGGCAGTTGCAGGAGTGACAGGGGCAGGAGGAGCAGGAGCAGGAGGAGCAATAGGAGCAGCAGGCGCAGCAGCTGAGGGATCCGTTGTCATGGGTGAGGGCCCGAGGAGGGTCGGCACAGCACAGGTCACGAGCTTCGGCGTTCCAAAGGCAGCAAGCTCTGCCGCAGCAGACTCGTCAGCAGCAGGAGCAGCAGCAGGCGGTTGTGTGACTGCAGGATCGGCCGGGACGGTATGTATGATGGTTGGTGGTCCGGGAAGGGGAGGAGAGGAGCATTCTCTGGTGGGCAGTCAGGGGGCATGCGAGGCGGTGCAGAGGAACGAGTATGGACAGCAAGTGAGCCAGCAGATTGCAGGGCAGCACGTACTGCAGCCCATGGGACAGCAGGGTCACATGGGGCAACAGGGTCACATGGGTCAACAGGGTCAAATGAGTCAACAGTGTCACATGGGTCAACAGGGGCAACAGGGTCAGCAATGTCAAGGGAGTCAAGGGTATGGGCCTACGGGCCAGCAGCAGTTCACGGCTGCACCAGGGCCAGGGCCTCAACACGGGGGCGTGGAGATGGTGCAGGGTTGGAGAGGGGCGATGCAGGGTCAAAGAGTCACTATGCAGGGTCAGGGGCTTACAATGCAGAGTGGGGGGGGAATGGTTCAGCCTCAGGCGGTTGTGAGTCAGGGGCAGGGAGTTGTGATGCAGCAGCAGCCGGGTATGCTAGAGAATCAGGGGGGCGGCATGCAGGGGCAGGGAGGAGGGGTGCAGAACGCGATGGAGAGCAAGCACCACAGCTACGGGCGTGGGCGCTTTCTTTCCGGAGCAGGCGACATGCTGCCTGCAACCTCTGGATATGTGAGCTCGCACTACCATTAGCCCAGCCGCTGCTATTTTTTGCACCTTCTTTTGCAGCTGGGTGGGAAGGAGTTGGATCCGATCCGCAGCAAGCCTCCTAAGAATAGATCTAGGACGAGAACTGAGATTAACGGCGAGAAAGGTAACATATATTTGTTTTTTAGTCAGAACGCCAGACACAATAGGCCCGGATGTCGCGTGCGAACGCATTTCGGCCAGCAACAGGACTTCATCAGCGCAATACTCCTTTCCCAAGCACTCTCGCTACTCGATCTCCTCTCTCATTGCTCCACCTCCTCCCCGTTCTTTCCTTCCGTCAACTCCACGCCTCTTCGTGCTCTTCTCCTTACTTTACTCCACCTCTCCTTACCTTCCTCCTCCCCTCATCGGCCTCGCCTCTCCTCATCAACCTTTCCTTTCTACCTTGTTGGCCTGCACTCACTTATTGCTGCTCTCCTCCCCCGTTTATCTTCCCTTCAGGGCACTGGGCTGGTGCACACCAGGAGTGCGGAGCTGCTTGCCCCACCACCCATGCAGAGCGCAGCAGCACAGCAGACCATGGCAGCACAGCAGCTGCAGCAGCAGCAGCAAAGGGGCGCGTTCATTGCACAACACCACGCGTTCACACAGCAGCAGCAGCAGCAGCAGCAGCAGCAGGGCCTGTTGGGGCAGGAGCAGAGTTTGGAGGCTCAGCAGCAGATGCAGCGGCTGCAGTCCCGGGCGGCATCAGAGGCAGAGGTGGAGAGGAGCATGGGCGTGCGACGTGCGATGGACTCAAGTTACCAGCTAGGGGTGATGGGCTCGCATGCACAGCCACAGGCACAGCAGCAGGCACAGACACAGGCGCAGCAGGAGATGATGCACTTGCGTGCGCAGGTCATGAGCCCGCCGCTTGGCGCAGTCAGTCCGCGCGCGAGTGTGGTGAGCCCGCCGTCCAGCATGGTCGGTGCGTTTCACGGCCTGCTGAGCCCGTCCTTTGGGGTCGTCAAAAGTGAGGCGCAGGGGCTGGAGGGGTTTTCTTTGGGGCAGCAGCAACAGGCTCTGAGCTCCCTGCAGCAGCAGCAGCAACAACTACAGCAGCAGCAGCAGCAACAACAACTGCACCAACAGCAGCAGCAGCAACAGCAGCAGCAACAACTGCACCAACAGCAGCAGCAGCAGCAGCAGCAGCAGCAACAACTGCACCAACAGCAGCAGCAGCAGCAACAACAACTGCAGCCGCAGCAGCAAATACAGCAGCAGCAGCAGCAGCAGCAGCAGGTGCAGCAGTTTGGTGCAGAGGAGGTGAAGGCGTCAATGCATCTGCCTGAAAGTACCATTGGCAGCAAGAGCGGCATGGACAGCAGCAAGGGCTCGGGAAACGGCTGTGCCCCCCCTACAGAAGCAGCACCGATTTCACCAGCACAGGCATCACAGGTACTGCAGGCATCGCAGGAAGCAAGGAGCCGTCTTCCATCCCAGGAGAACTGGTTGCCATCACCGAAGCAGCAGCCGCCGCAGGCGATGCTGCCCGTGATGCGATCTGCTTCGCAGGGGATGCAGAGGGCGACTTCAGCGACGCCTTTCCCTGTGAGTACGGTGACCTCGGTCTGGAGGACTTGTCACGTGGGGGGGGCGGCATTGACGGCAGCGGGCTTGAGTGGTTCGACCAGTTCTGAGCAAGGAGAGAGGAGCAATGTTCTCTGTACAGTCACTCCAGGTACAGGCACACTGCACACATGCACTCTGGATACAGCGTGTGCTACTGCAGCTAGGGAGGGCAGCCAGCCTGGGCGTCTAAAAGTGGAGGAGTTAGTCAACAGAAGCAAGCACTGCACCGATTACAGCATGGCTAGTGGCTGCTTGCCAGTGGGCGAAGCATGGGATTTGAGAGCTATTACGACAAACGGATCAGTTAAAGCAGCAGCGGTGGCAGCAGAATCAGCAGCAACGGCTCCAGCAGCAACAGCAGCACCAGCAGCAGCAGCAGCAGCACCAGCAGGAGCAGCGGCAGCAGTGTGCGTGCTGCCTCGGCAGTTTCCAGCCCATCATCTCCCTTGGTCTACCGCTCGGGCTCTTTTCACAGACTCACTGCTCCCAGCTGATGCCCGCTCCACAGCTCCTACAGCGTGCCATGGCCTTGCCAATGCTACCACTGCGGCTGCCACAATTGCTGGCAATGCTGCTGCTGCCAGCGCACTTGATGGTGTTGCTGTTACTGCCAGTGTTATGAACGCCCCTGCTGTTGCTGCAGGTTCTGCAGGGCCTTGTGGACAGGCTGCAGCTCAGCATGCTGCTGCTTGGGCTGCTGCTGCTGGTGGTGCTGCTGGTGGCAAGGGCGCCTTGACAGGGACTGGTGTTGAGAACGGTGCAGGTGACGCTGGCAATGGTGCCGAGGCTGGTGCTGGTGGTGATGCGGATGGTGATGCTGGTGCATGTGGTACTGGGGTGGACGGGGACTCTTGTGATGCCATTGCTGATGCTGCTGCTCCTGGGACTCATGCACACACATCTGCGCATGCAGCCAGTGCCAGCACACTCACATCAGCCTGTGCTGCTCACATTGTGCGCAGCCATAACATGCATGCAGAGCCAGGCCATCCCGTGCCACCGCGTCCACCTGTGATTGCTGACATTTATCCACCTTCATCGCCGTCTGAGGGACAAGGCTCACCACCACCTGATCCTTCACCTGATCCGTCACGTAATTCAGCACCTGATCCTTCACCTGATCCTTCACCTGATCCTTCACCTGATCCTTCACCTGACCCACCTCCTGACCTACTGTTGGGTCAAACAGAGAAATTGGGAGCAGAAGCAAAAGTCGTGGGAGAAGGGGAAGACGTGGGAGATGGGGGCAGGCAGGAGGGACGGGGGGCGCAGGAAGGGGAATCAGATGGGCGTGGGGGGGATGGGGGGCGGCGAGAGGAGGGGCGTGGGGGGGATGGGGGGCGGCGAGAGGAGGGGCGCGGGGGGATGGGAATGGGGGAAGGGGGGAGGATGGCGAGGGCGGAGGGGGCGGTGAATGGGATGGATTCGGGGGTGGAGGAGGTGGAGAAGGGGGGGATGAGGGTGGGGAGAAAAGAGGGGATGATAAGGCAGAGGGTGATAAGGGCGAGGGTGACGAGGGAGAGGATGATGAGGGCGAGGAGGAAGCAGAAGGCGAGGAGGAAGCAGGAGGCGAGGAGGAGGAGGAAAAGGAAGGAGATGAGGAAAGGGAGGAGGAAGAAGTGCGAGAAGAACAGGCAGCAGAATTAGGGGCTGAAGGGAAGCGGAGAGCAGGGGAGTGCAGGGAGGAGGGAGTGAGGAAGAAGAGGAGGCTAGGGGCAGGTTCGACGGGGCATGCGGGCTCAACCCTTCGCACTGACGCACAGCATGGTTTGGGTAGCGACAGCGTTGCGGATGCTGCTGTGCCGCTGCAAGGGATGACGGCGCTGCAGGATGCCATGGCGCTGGGGCTGGCTCGTTGCAGTGGGGGCGGGGGACCCTCGGGCTGCAGGCGCACGAACGGGGCCACGAGAGCACGAGAGCACGAGGGCACGAGAGTGGCAGCTGCGAGCAGCAGTGGCTCCGCCTCCCCCAAAGTGAGTCAGCGCCACATTCGCCGCTTGCAAACCCCCATCCGTGCTCTCTGGTGTGCCCTTGCTGCCCCAACCTATGCTACTCGCCCAACCCATGCCCCCGTGTCGCTGCATGCACCTGGTGCATTGGTCAAGTGCCTGCTTGGTTAGCGATTCCAGAGTCTTTGAAACGACTTGCATGGCACTTGGTGTGCACGTTGTAAAGCGTGGCTCCTCCATGGGCTTGCGCCAGATCAGTGCTCGTGAGTCCCTCTGTTTGATCTCAAGACGAGGTCGGGTAACCGTCTACCTTTTGCTCCGTACTTCCATCACTATCTTACGTCATTCATCCCCCCCTCCTCTCCTTCTCCCCCCCTCTCCTTCTCCCCCCCTCCTCCCCCCCTCCGCCCTTCCCTCCCCCTCCTCCCCACTCTCTCCCTGTGGCCCTGTGATGCTCCGTGGCCCTGTGATGCTCCATGGCCCTGTGATGCCCCATGGCCAGATGACGGCGCTTGATCTGCTGAGGAGGAAGAGCCCAGCGCCCCCATCCGTTGTCCTGCCGCCGCTGCCAACACTCGTGCTCACACCCGCACCACTTGCACCCGCACCACTTGCGCCTGCTGCAGTCGCACCACCAGCACCAGCGTTCCCTGCTCCAGCTGCTCTTTCCGCACCCCTTTTCTCACCAAGTGGGCCTGCACCAGTTGCGCCTGCACCAGTTGCGCCTGCAGCAACGTCCCCAGCAAGCGAGTATGAGGTGGAGGTGGAAGAAGAGGACAGAGGGGAGGGGAGCACGGGGGTGCTGGAGGGGGGGGGGGCGAGGGGAAGGCAGTTGAGGAGCGCATGAGAGAAGGGCTTGTGGATGAGGGGGAGAACGCGGAGGACAACGAGGAGGGCAATGCGGAGGGGATTGAGGAGGGAAGTGAGGAGGGAGATGAGGAGGGAGATGAGGAGGGTGCGGAGGAAGGGGTGGTGGACGAGGAGGGGAATGCTCAAGGTGCGGGACACGGGGGCGGGGAGGAAGAGGAAGAGGAAGCGGAGGGAGCAGGGAAGCAAGAGGAGGGCGAGGGGGACGGGGAGGAAGGGTGGGATGAAGGAGTGAATGAGAGGAGGAGGGATGCGCACAGGATGGTGGGAGACGGGTTTGGGCAAAGATGCATAGGCACGAGCGCTGGTGATGGTGGCGGTGGCGGTGCTGGTGATGATGGTGATGCTGATGGTGATGGTGATGCTGATGCTGATGCTGATGGTGATGCTGATGGTGATGCTGATGCTGATGGTGATGGTGGTATTGGCCCGCATAAAATGGGTCAGCACAGGCTGGGCTTGAGGCAGGGGCTGGGTCGAGGGAAGGGGCTGCGTTTTAGTCAAACCAGTTTCCGTGATACAGGCGAGGGTGGTGGTGAGGGGGACGTGGGGCTGGGCGTGGGGGTAGCTGAGGCAGGAGAGTGTGCTGCTGCTGCTGCTGCTGCTGCTAGTGCTGGTGCTGCTGGTGCTGGTGCTGCTGGTGCTGGTGCTGCTGCTGGTGCTAGTGCTGCTGCAGCCGGGCCGGCTATGACTGGCGGGGCTATGGCTGCGGACGGAGTCGCCAGTGCTGATGAGAGTGAGGGAGAAGGGGTGTTGGAAGAATTTGGTTCAGGAAGCGGGGGTTTGCAAGGAGTGGGATTGGCGGTGGAGCGTGGAGGAGTAGGGAGTGAGAGACAACGGCCGTCCATGGAGGGAAGCCAAGTGGGGGCAGCCAAGGAGGCGGGAGAGCAGCAGCAGCAACAGCAGCAGCAGCAGCAGCAGCAGCAGCAGGAAGAGGAGGTGCAGCAGGAGGAGCAGGAGGAGCAGAGGCAGGAGCAGGAGCAGTTTGGGAAGGCATCTGAGGCAGGCAGAGAACAGCAAGATGGAACACGCTTGGCTGCCGTCTCAGATGCTGGCGCTGCTGGTGGTCATGCTGCTGCTGATGCTGGTGCTGGTGCTGGTGCTGGTGTTGATGCTGGTGCTGGTGCTGGTAGGGCTGGAGCAGGGGAGCAGAGCAGAGGTCGCATTGACAGACGATTTGGCCGTGCACAGAAGAAGAGCGATCAAAGTGTGCCTTCAAGCACGGACAGGGGGGGCAGGGAGCGTAGGGAGGAGGGTGAGGGTGGTGAGCGACGGCAGATGAGGGAGAGTGAGGAGTATGGCCAGAGGGGGGAGGGAGAACAGGGAGGGAAGAGTGAGGAGGAAAGACATGGTGAAGGGGCAGGGGAGGGTGAGAACGCCGGAAAGGGAAGAGGCAGGAGTGTTTGTGGGCGTGGTACGGTTGAGGATGGGAAGGAAGAGGCGGACGAGGAGAGGGGCGAAGCGGAAAGGGAGGGAGAGGAAGGAGGGATGGCGAAGGAGACAGAGAGCAAAGAAGAGTGGGGCCAATCAGGGGTAGACACGTGGCAGAGAGTAGAAGAGGAAGAGGTGATACGTGTGGGGATGGGAGGCACGGGAGAAGGACAAGGGGGCACAGAGTCAGAGGGAGAAGCGAGCGTGGGAAAGGAGGTGGGCAGGGGAAGGAGAGGGCGGAGGAGGGGGGGAGGGGTAAGAATGAGAGGACGAGGAGGGAGGCAAAGGGGGGGTTTTCTGCAGGGGCCAGGTGGACGCCGCATGGTGCGTTGTGCGTTATGTGTTGTGCTGAGTGTATCCTCATGTGTGCTTGTAGTCCCGCTCTATTACAGCCTGCTCTATTACAGCCTGCTCTATTACAGCCTGCTCTTTTACAGTCTGCTCTATTACAGTCTGCTCTATTACAGTCTGCTCTAATACAGCCTGCTCTATTACAGCCTGCTCTATTACAGCCTGCTCTGTTCCAGCCTGCTCTATTACAGTCTGCTCTATTACAGCCTGCTCTGTTCCAATCTGTTCTGTTACAGCCTGCTCTGTTCCAGCCTGCTCTGTTCCGTTCCAGCCTGCTCTGTTCCAGCCTGCTCTGTTCCAGCCTGCTCTGTTCCAGCCTGCTCTGTTCCAGCCTGCTCTGTTCCAGCCTGCTCTGTTCCGGTCTGCTCCGTTCCAGCCTGCTCTGTTCCAGCCCCCTGTGCTGCCCTCACATGGTGACCAATCTCCGTGTTCCAAAGCACGCGCTCTGCTGGTTCCTTGGCCCCTGCCTCCTATGCTTGCTTCCCGCTCACCAGTGTTGACAAAAACGCTTTTGTGAGTTAGCGTTTTGCGTTTAAACGCAATCGTTTAAACGCAATACGCAAAAACGCATCAAAACGCTCGAACGCACCTTGGAATTTTTTGGGCTGCCCGGAACAAAAAAACGCAAAAAAAACCCACAAAGTCGCGAATCGAAAGCACATTTCGCCACGCGTCGCGAAACGCCAACACGTTTCGCGCGTCGCAAATTCGTCGTCGTGCAGTCGTGAAACTTTTCATAGCGACACGATAACTCATCAATCCCTCCCTTCCTTTTCCCAACGTGTTGAAAATCCCAACCCATTCCCCCCCCGCTTGATCCAGATCTATCTGTAGAGGAGAAATTCGCTCACCTTACATGCATTGACGATCTAGTACTCTTACGTTCTTCCTTCCAGCACCTAAGCTACCTGACTTCGAGCCCCTAGCATGGCGTCCCCTGCCCGGGCCAAATTTCCCGCCTGCCCGGGCAGGCGTTTTTCGAGCGTATTTGAAGCCTGGAATCCTGCGTTTTGCGTCCTGAACGCAAGCGTTCAGAACGAAACGCAAAAACGCAGAAACACGTTTATGCCAACATAGCCGCTCACTTCTTTCGCTCGAACCCCTTCCCTAGACTTGAGCATTTTACCCGGTCGGGTCGCGGGTACCCGACCCGACCCGACATTTTGGCGGGGTCGGGTAATAGGATTTTGACGAATTACCCGGCCGGGTCGGGTCGGGTACTCGGGCCGGGTAATGCATACCCGTTACCCGAGAATTACCCGAAATGTCGGGTAATTTATTACCCGTCGGGTCGCGGGTACCCGACCCGACTTTGGGTTTGTTACTCTGGGTTTGCTGAATTCTACAGCCACCTGGGGGTACCCGGGTAATATTACCCGACTTCAATTAAATGCGGGTCGGGTATACCCGACCCGACAGACGGGTACCCAATTACCCGGTATTAAAATGTCGGGTCAGGTAACAGACCTCCAAACATTACCCGGAAATTACCCGACCCGACCCGACCCGGACCCGATTGCGGGTAGGGCTAAACCGGTCGGGTCGGGTAATTACCCGGTTTTGCTCATGTCTACCCTTCCCCCTTTTCCCCATTCTCTCTCTCTCCATGCTCACCCGTCCCTTCCCAATTCCTTGCCCATGCAGTCCTTCATGCGCAGCCCTCACGCTCACACAGGCCGCTTCTTCGCTCGTGCTCTTGCCCACTCACCTCCTGCCGCTGCTGCACTCACGCGCGCACACACGCAAACATGGAAACAGACGCAGCAGCTGCAGCAGCAGCAGGATAAGGGGGTTTGTGCTGCAGCTGGTCCTGTTGATTCAACCCCAACAGCAGCAGCACCCAGCAGTGTGCGCCTCCACACCAAGCCTACGGCTGATGGGCTGACCTCAGCTCCCTTCACGCGAGTAAGGGGGAGGGGACGGAGGGCGTGGGGCAGAGGGGTGGAGATAGGAGCAGAGGAGAGCAGTCTGAGAAGGGAAGGAGGAGGGCAGGAGGCAGAGGCAGATGGTGTGCGGGCTGAGGAGGGGGGTGTGAGAAGGAGGGGGAGGCGGAGGAGGAGCGGGAGGGTTAAGGATGAAGAGTACTGCTGGGACACGGCTGAGGGCAATGCGGAAGAGGAGGAGGAGGATGAGGGGGAGGAGAAGGAGGAAATGTGGGTGGTGGACGAGGAGGTAGACGAGGAGGAAGAGGAGGAAGAGTATGAGGAGGAAGAGTATGAGGAGGATGAGTATGAGGAGGCAGATAACGAGGAGGAAGAGGAGGAAGCTGAGGAGGAAGAGGGAGGAGTGGGTAGTTTTGGCTTAGGCAATGGCGGTGGGGATGGGGACCGAAGAGCCTATGAGCGCCGAGGGATGGATGCAGGTGAAGGCGAGAGGGCAGGTGATGGGATGGGAGGGGGCGAGGGGAGGGAGGGAGACATGCAGCGTGATCTGAGGCACAGGAGTCGGGAGCAGAGGGGACGGTATGGATGTGCCGAGACATACCCACATGGAAGGGTGGGAGGAGGCCTGGGTGCTGCAGGGGTGGCTGCAGAGAGTGGTGGAGGGCGAGGAGGAGAGCGAATACGCGAGAGGGATGTGGTTCGGCAGGTTCGGCGGGACATGGCTCAATTGGAGGCTCGGATACCATGGCTGGGCGTCAGGTCTGGGTGGAGGAACCGGAGAGCGGCGTGGCGGAGGGCCGTGAAGGACAGCTGCAACGCCCTGGTTGGTGTTGCGTTCTTGCATGAGTCATCACAAGCATGTGTCCACAAGCATGTGTCATCACAAGCGTGTGTCATCACAAGTGTGTGTCATCACAAGCATGTGTCATCACAAGCGTTAGGTATATCGCATCGCATCCCGTTTTATCGCATTTTGCGATTGCGATTTTTATGATTTTTAATAAAAAACCGCAGCGATGCGATGCGATAATATCGCGCAATTTTTGCGATATCGCGCATTTATCGCGGTTTTTTCAGCGCGATAAAACGCGATATGCGATATTAAAATATCGCGCGCCATACATTCGCATATCGCGTCGCGGAATTGCGCCAGAAAGGGGGGGGGAATATGGGCGTGGGCCCTGAACTTAGCAAAATTTAGGGTTCTCTGATTGTAATGGCGTGCGGAAATTGCGCACGGCTGTTTGGGGTTGGCGTAATTGACGGGGAGGTGTTTGTGAGGAGCTTGGAGAGTAAGGGTTGGAATTTCTAGTTGAAAAGGAGTGCCGTGCGGTTGAGGGAGGGGAGTTGGTTCTAAGTTGGTAGTTTACGTCACTTTAGGTGACGTAAACGTAGAGTACGCGTAACGTTACGTTTACGTTACGTTACGCGTACGTTACGTTTACGTCGCCGGGCAGGCCCTGAAATTTTTTTCCGGGCAATTTTTTTCCCTCCGAAAACCGCGTTCTACAGCTACGCGATCTGCAACTACGCCTGGATTATCGTTGCCCACGGTTCGCGCAGATCTACCCTGTCGTGAACTATGGCGCACGTAGATTCGTCGCGCTGGTCGAAGGCGCGCTAATAGTCCTAGGATGCGACTTAGACTTAACTTAGTTGCTACTGGAGATAGGGTAGCGACTGACATTCGTCGAGGAAGGAAGGGGAATTGAATGTCGAGGAGGGTTGGGTTGGGTTAGGTAGGGGGTTGACGTTGACTGGTTGGAGTACCACGCGCACAAATCCGTCGACTGGTTGGATTGCCGGCGCGTCAAGCAGCAGAGACGAGATTTCGCGCACGCGGTAATTTCGTCAACCAGTCAATAGATTGTAAATTTCGTCGCACCTAAATGTGACTTTCGACGCACTGGCAGAAGTTGGTGATTGTGGCTTGCGACGAAAGTGCAGCCAGCAAGCCAACCAATCCCTAACAATCAGAAACACGTTTACGCGTTCCTAACAATTTCCTACGACGTGATTTCCGCAAAACTGGTTGGCGGCACGACGAATTCAAAGAGGTACTTAACTACGCCTAATTTCCACAAATCCACACAGCTCCAAACAACAACTACTCTTACTCAATTTTCCAAGTAAAAACTGCATTGTACTTCTGTTGCAATTAGGCATGAGCAAAACCGGGTATTTACCCGACCCGACCCGGTTTTGCTATACCCGACTTCGAGTCGGGTATTTTCGGGTCGGGTGCGGGTCGGGTAACATGCCCATGACCAATACCCGGACCCGTGATTTGGCGGCGGGTAATTTTATACCCGCCTGGCGGGTCCGGGTATACCCGACCGGGTTCCCTTGATAAGCAGGTAGTATTACCCTCGTTTTCCTACCGTGCTGGGCTAAACCTACGACCTAAAAACGTGAGTCGCGGGAGGCAGTAAGAGGTGCACGAGATCTTTTACAGTTCAAGTGAGTAGGGCGTGAGTGGCGAGGTGGTTGGGTTTTCTAGTTGGGATGGGGTTGTGTGCGGTTTTTGGGGGTTTGATATTTTGACCCCCAGAGTCAATTGGTTGGAACTCCAACCAATGTGGTGCTGTGCGGTTGGCTGGATTCAGGTTGGGTTGCAAAATCGATGGGGGAAATTCGATTGTTTTGAATTCTAACCAATTTCCCCCAATTCAACCGCTCTGAATGCATCTGGATCTACGAAATCCAACCCCTGCCACTCTACAATGCTCTACGTGACCTAGCAGCTCACGTAACCTAAGAAATTTCTCTACCAGCGCGACCAATGTCGCGCTGGTTCCGCGGGTAGACACTCTACCCGATTTCGGGTCGGGTACCCGTTACCCGACGTGTCGGGTAACGTTTCGGGTAACGAGTATCGAATACCCGCCCGGGTAACCCGGACCCGACCCGCCGGGTAATTTTCAGGATTCCCTATACCCGACCCGCCCTAAAAGCGGATCCGGGTATCGGGTACCCGACCCGGGCGGGTAGTATGCTCAAGCCTAAGCTACTGTACCATGTCAACATGAGGTCTCAAGTGAGTGTGCACCCTCACATAGAATGCGAAGATAAGAGATGTAGTAGCCTCCCCCAAGTGTGTTAGGGAGTCGCATACCAAGGAGAGTTTAAGTAAATCCACAATGTGACCAATGCCCCTCCTCCCTCACAGCCCCTCGTCATCACCCTCAATACACACCTCCCCCGACCCCCCACCCTGATGTGCCACGGGGAGTTTGGCGTCCGCGTGCTGAGTCATCCGTGACTTGATACTCATGGTTGCGTGCACCTGAGCAGGGCTTAACCGATGACGCTACAAGCTGACAATGTTTCGGCCCTGGCTGAACGCCCCCTCACTCGGTGCCGAGGTTGCAGGGATGGCAAGGTAATCGCGAGCCATGGCCTGCAGCCCCGGTAGCGAGGTGCGCGAGCGCCACCATGTGAGAGGGCACTTTTCCATGGCTAGCCTCTGCGCACCCAGATACCTCTCCACCTCATCCACCTGCTGCACACCCGCCTCCTCATCCATCAGGTCCATCTGCGAGCCAAGCAAGTTCGTCAAGCGCCACCCAGCGGCCCCCCTCCTGGCACCCTCCTTTCCGAGCCCACTCTCCCCCTCCCCGCTCGTAATGCCAGAACTCGTGCCCTCCTGCCCTGTGCCCACGGCTCGGCGGCGCTGCTCGTCAAGGTACGACTAGAGGCGAGAGCGCACCAACGCCTTGCCATCCGCCTCGCTCACATCCTTGACTACCCTAGGTCCATCAGCAACCGCCGCCACCAGTGTCGGGTTCGCCCCCTCCCACCTCTTCAGCTTGAAGTATGCGTTCTTGAACCGGGAGTCCAAGAACGTCGCCACAACCAACTCGTCACTAATCCCGTACAAATACTTCTTCAGGACCACCAGCCCCTCCCTGTCCATCTCTTTGCGCAACGCCTTGGTGCTCGGGTTGTGGAACGAGGCCTCGAGGGTATCTATGAGGAGGTTATACTGTGGTACCACCTCGGCGGCAGTGGGGTACAAGGACCCCTCTGCCGCCATGGTGATGTCATTGAATGGTTTCAGGAACTTGGCCAGAACCTCAGCTGCCTCCCAGTGCGCATCCCCGAGCTTGCACCGGGCCGCCCGTGCCCGCTTGGGGACACCAACCTATGAGGCATGGTGCGGGCGGGAGGGTGGTGGGGAGGGGTACAATGGGGCGGGGAGGTGGGGAAATCAGCAACTCCATGCAGAGGGAAGACTATAATTGAACCGGGAACGAGCTTGGACTTTGGAACGAGACGAATGATGGGGAAATGGTAACAAAGTCAAATACCTCAGGCCGGGAGAAGAAGAGTGTGAGCGCTGGTTTCGGCTTCAGCGCACAGGCAATCATCTCGTAAGACGATCCCCAGCGAGTGAGGGTGTCATTGACCAATCGGAGAACCGGGGTGCCGGGCGGGAACACAAGCGCCTGCTCCACCTCAAATGTGGGGGACCTGGTAGATGACCAGCCAATGTACGACGCGAGCTCCCTCATGTGGCGTAGTGGCTCTGCCACTGCTGGCAACCCCAGAGCCCGCTGCACTGCAAGGTTTAGGATGTGCGCCAGACACCTTGGGGTGGGTTGGGGGGGAGAGTTGTTTGTGGTGGACAGATAGGTTTAAACCAAGACCCACCAGCTGTCCACCATGAAGTGCATGCTCCATGCTGTGCAATGATGGACATGTGGGCAGAGTACAGTACACCTTTGCCATGCCATGCTGGACATGTGGCATGCCATGCTGGACATGTGGCATACCATGCCATGCTGGACATGTGGCATGCCATGCCATGCTGGACATGTGGCATGCCATGCCATGCTGCACATGTGGCATGCCATGCCATGCTGCACATGTGGCATGCCATGCCATGCTGGACATGTGGCATGCCATGCCATGCTGGACATGTGGCATGCCATGCCATGCTGGACATGTAGCATGCCATGCCATGTTGGACATGTGCCATGCCATGCTGGACATGTGGCATGCCATGCTGGACATGTGGCATGCCATGCCATGCTGGACATGTGGCATGCCATGCCTTGCTAGACATGTGTCATGCCATGCCATGGTGACCCACCTGAAGAAGAATCGAGGGTTGATGACGGCGACGGCCCGCACCTCGGGGGTGTCAGGATCGGCAGTGAGGATCTTTAGGGCCTTCACGTTGTTCTCGGCATTGTCTGTCGTGATGCCGAGCACGTGGTCCTTCAGGCCCCAGTCTGCAATGATCCGCTCCAAGGTCTCTGCAATCATCACGCCGGTGTGGGAGCCCTGCAGCTCCTCGAACTCCAGCAGCGCCACTCGCAGCTGGAAGTCCGATGTGATCCAGTGGGCTGTGACGGCCATGAATGAATCCTGGGCAGGGCTAGACCAAATGTCTGTTGTCAGTGACACCTTCCCCGCAGCCCCGTCCCCCGTGATCTCCTGGTGCAGCTGCTCGCGCGCACCCTCCCGAGTCAGTAGCATGTCACGGGCCAGGCGGAAACGAGAGCCTAGCAGCTCTGCGGCCGGCGGGTTCAGGAGTGCAGTATATCGACGGAACTGTGGGGTGGGGTGGGATGGGGTTAGGGGCAGGTACACGCGCATGAGGAACCCTGAGTCTTTGGCGTAGGCATGGAGTCAGAGCACACGACGGATGACGATATGACAAGGCACTAGAGCTGGTAAGCACCACCAAGTGTTATGACTCACCGAGGGCCGGTCGACGAGGCGTAAGGGCAGGCAGGCGTCGGCGAACAGCTCAACCAACGCCTGCCGAAGACGCTCCAAGGACACCCGCCGCGTGAAGAACTAGCCGATGACGCACTGCCCACGCTCGGCCGCGGGTGTCCCGGTGCCCTCACGTAACCCCGGGATGTTAGGATACGCCTCCACATGCTCCCAGGGCTCGGGCTTCTTGTCCGGGGCTGTAAACTTGCGATGCCATATCTGGAGGTGAGGCATGTGCTTCGCCCGCACATGCTTCCATCCGGTCGACGTACTGCTCCGGTCCCAGTAGAACTCCTCCTCGCATACCTTGCACACACGCGAGGCCTCACCCTTCCGGCTTGTAAAACATACCCTGCATCAAGCCAGGGATGGTACCCCAGTAGCCTGGAACAAGTTCGCCATCCTCCCCCACCCGCGTCCGCTTCACCCGCCCTGCACCGGTCCCTGCAGCCCCTCCCCTGCGCCCTGTTGCGCCCGCCCGACGGGGAGTCGCCCCAACACCCCCATCTCGGGCATCCTCCGCAACGACCTCCTCACCTCCCTCTGCACCCCGCCCAAGACCCCTTGCTGGCCCTCTGGGACGGCCGCGCGCAGCACGCCGCCCCGCTCCCGCACCCCCCCCTGAACCGCCGTTCCCCGGCCCCTAGGACGCCCTTGAGGTTGGCCCCCCTGGTTTGCGGCTCTCGGGCGACCCACTGCCTGCGTGGCAGGGGATGCATCCTCTCCTGAGAGATCCACCACGTTGTCTGCACCCGGCTGCCAATCTTGATCACCACCACCACTGGGACGCTGCCCAACCTGCTGTCCTCCTCCCCCACCTGGCAGAGCGCCCCCCTCACCGGGCTCCACTGCTTGCACGTTCGCCTCCTCTCCGACCCCACGAACTCCACTCCCCAGAGCAAAGCTCTGGTCCTGTGCGAGTAGAGGGAGAGCTCCAAGGGACGCGCCTTGTATGCGATTGCTGGCCTGTCCTCCCCCCTCCTCAGCCGTGGCGCCTCCGCCTTCGGCAGCCAGATCCTGGTCGGCCATAGACACCCCGTCTCAATTGTCGTACAGTAGCACCATGACCCTCCTGTCCGTCAATCCCTAAACGCACAACGCGGGTTGTCGAGCAAGCAGCGCACCTAAACCCTTGTCTACGCGTGAGGGAACAAACTATTCCGTGTTTAACGCCCTCTCGGTGTCGAATCCGCGATTCCAGTGTGTCCTACGCTCTAACTTCAGGCAGGGGTGACGAAACCCTAAAACGGACGGCTAGGCAGCAAAAAACGCAAGGTGTAGCCCTTGTCTACTCCATTGCCCTAGGATTCGTTAAAACAAGGAGCGGTTTGTAGTAGACCCGCTGCGGAATGCTCCTAGGTGCATGTTAGGGTAGGCTTAGGTTGAACGCAACTGAGAAGGGAAACAATCGTGGGAAATTTCGACTTTATGGTCGAAATTTCCCAACCACTGCGAAAATTGACGCGCTGGTTGGCGTCGGGTAATTGCGCGACCCGAAACCGGGTCGGGTACCCGCGACCCGACATCGGGTAATAAACCCGAGGTCGGGTAGGGCATCCACGACCCGACGGGTAGTAAATTACCCGACATTTCGGGTAATTTCAGGGTAACGGGTATGCATTACCCGGCGCGATTACCCGACCCGACCCCGCCGGGTAATTTGTCAAAATTCTATTACCCGACCCGGCCAAAATGTCGGGTCGGGTCGGGTATCCGCGACCCGACCGGGTAAAATGCTCAAGTCTAATCACAAGCATGTATCGTCACAAGCATGTGTCATCACAAGCATGTATGATCACAAGCATGTGTCATCACAAGCATGTATGATCACAAGCATGTGTCATCACAAGCATGTATCATCACAAGCATGTATCATCACAAGCATGTATCATCACAAGCATGTATCGTCACAAGCATGTATCATCACAAGTATGTGTCATCACAAGCACGTGTCATCACAAGCATGTATGATCACAAGCATGTATGATCACAAGCATGTATGATCACAAGCATGTATGATCACAAGCATGTATGATCACAGGCATGTATCATCACAAGCATGCATCATCACAAGCATGTATGATCACAAGCATGTATCATCACAAGCATGCATCATCACAAGCATGTATGATCACCAGCATGTATCATCACAAGCATGTATCATCACAAGCATGTATGATCACAAGCATGTGTCATCACAAGCATGTATCATCACAAGCATGTATCATCACAAGCATGTATCATCACAAGCATGTATCGTCACAAGCATGTATCATCACAAGTATGTGTCATCACAAGCATGTGTCATCAAAAGCATGTCTGATCACAAGCATGTATGATCACGAGCATGTATGATCACAACCATGTATGATCACAAGCATGTATGATCACAGGCATGTATCATCACAAGCATGCATCATCACAAGCATGTATCATCACAAGCATGTATCATCACAAGCATGCATCATCACAAGCATGTATGATCACCAGCATGTATCATCACAAGCATGTATCATCACAAGCATGTATGATCACCAGCATGTATCATCACAAGCATGTATCATCACAAGCATGTATCATCACAAGCATGTATCATCACAGATACTTCAGTCCTTTCTCAGCCACATGTCTGTTTTCCTGCTGTGTGCGCTCCTTTTCTCCGACTCTGCTGCTGCCTCTTCTGTGTGCTCTCTGGCCGGCACCACTCCATCTGTTCCACTGGTGTCGCCCGCCTCGCGGAGGAGATCACACACACTCAGAGGCTAGAGCGTGCAAGCCCCCCATATGCTATGTCCTCCTTGCCTCTGTTCTTAACCCTACTTCCTGCACCAGGACTTGCTGCACCGCCTGCACGCCTTCTGCTTCTACCGTCTCCTGCACCATGGTGCTCTGCGCTGAGGCGCCTCACTGAAGATGCCGTCTGTGCCATGCCCCCCCCCACTCTCCCGTGTTGCCCCCCCAGGACTTGCTGCATCGCCTGCACGAGTTCCGCGCCTACCTCCTCCTGCGCGATGCTGCTCTGCTCTCCGACCACCAGTGGGCCCTCCGCATCACCACCGCCACTGCTGCTGCCGCTCGTAGCTCTTCTGCTCCAACTACTGCTGCTGCCGCTGCTGCTTCTGCTGCTGCTTATGCTGCTGCTCCTGCTGCTGCTGCTATGGGCGGAAGTTCTGCTGGCAGCGGTGGTGCCACCTCTGCCGCTGCTGGGGGCACCGACTCTGATGGTGCTGACGTGGCAGGGGTGCATGGTGCCAGCTGTCACAGCACTCTGCTGGAGCTGTGGACGTGTCTGCAGGATGACGTCAGCAAGTGGCTTGAGGCGCGGCCCAAGGAGGCGGTTGGGAACGCGTGAGTTGCTGATGTCGGAACGTGGTAACTTGGTAGCATGCTATGCCTATGCTGACACAGTAACACTTCTTTGCAGCTTGGAAACATTATGATGTTTCAACATGCCAACAAAGTGACATGCTTCCCCGGTGTCGGTTCGCCTCCCTCAACTCTCTTCCTCTCCCTCCCCTCCCATCATCCTCTCCCTCCCCCTTGCACCTCAGTGCCTCAGCAGTGGCTGCACTGGCATCATTCGCCTCCCACCCCAACTCCAAGCGACACACACAACCAGCAGCAGCATCGCCAGCCAACCCTGTATCACACACCTCCCTCACATCCCCATCGCCCTCCTCCCCTTCTCCCGACTCCTTTTCCGCCCTCCCCCCCACCACCCCCCTGTGGAAGCGCTATTTCCCTGGGTGGCTGATTTGAAGCACGTGCTGCCCGCGCCCTCTCTCACCGCTGCTGTGGCCGTGGCGGCTTCAGAGGCAGCAGCCGCTGTCAAGGGCGATGAGAGCAAGGTACAGGTCAGTAATTTTCCACCCGGTCTCACTTTTTCAATGCCTGTTTTCCCCCACCCTGCGAGCCATCATCCTGCAGTTCAACCCTGCATCATGCTCTGCTCATCCCTTCCCCGCTCCTCTGGGCCCGTGGGTCCTCCCTTCACCGCCACACTGTGCTGTTCTTCCAAGGCTCTATCTGCGCCTCGTTCTTTCTCGCAACCCGAATAAGCTGCCAGCTGCTCGTTAGGCACCCCTCAAGCGAGATTTGACTTAAGAAAGCCCTCTAGAAAAGCTTTTCCTGCTCCGTTGCTTCCCCTTCACCACCATCAGGCCCTGCAGAGCCTTTCCCTGCGCCTCATCCTCTCGCACAGCCCAGCTGAGCTGGCAGCAATCCGAGCAGCTCTTGAGAGGGAGCGCCGCCACGTCAGCGCTCTCCTAGCTGACATGGATCAGCCAGCCTATGTGATAACTGCTTCCGCCAATGCAGCTGCTGGGGCTGTTGCTGCTGGTACTGCTGCTGCTGGTGCTGCTGCTGCTGGTGCTGCTGCTGCTGGTGCTGCTGCTGCTGGTGCTGCTGCTGCTGGTGCTGCTGCTGGTGCTGCTGCTGCAGCTTCAGCTGATACTAACCATTTCACAGCTACTGCTGCCGTTGTTTCGCATGGTATTGCTCCTGCCGCCCCTGCTGCTAATACTGCTCCTGCTGATTTTGTCGCTGCTGCTGCCACTCCCGCTTTGCAGCCCGGATTGACCACCGACACTTTGATTCGGCCACCAACGCCCCCCACCCCTCCGCACCCGAAACCGCCAGGTATGGTGAGAGGGGGTAGGCGGTCAGGGGCCAGGGCTGCTCCTGGTGCTGGTGGTGGTGGTGCTGCTGCCGCTGGTGGCGCTGGCGGTGGTGGTGGTGGCGCTGGTGGTGCTCCTGCAACAGTATCTCCAGCTGTTGGTGATGCCAGGATGGCAGCAGCAGGAGCACCAGCAACACGAGACGCTGAGCGATTGAGAAAGAGGCCACACCCATCCCGTTCTGTGGAGGAACTCAGGGACGAATCCGTGCAGCAGCAGCAGCAGCAGCAGCAGCAGCAGCAGCAGCAGCAGCAGCAGCAGCAAGGGGAAGATGGGCGCAGAGGACGCTCGAAAAGGCGAAGAGGAGCTTCTGTGCGTGTTGGTAGAGAGGGGGCGGGTGAGGGACATGCAGGTGCCACGTGGGAAACAGAGTGTGAGACGGTGGCACGTGCAGCAATGCAGGCAGGCGCGAAGGAAAGGGAGCTTCCAGGTGGGGGTGAAGCAGAGGGTGGTGCCAGTGTGGGGGCAGACGAGGGCGTGGGGGCAGAGAGAGCAGCGGCGGGAAGGAGGTCTGTTGCGAAAGGAGCAGGAAGAGGAGCAGCAGGAGTGGCAAGAGCAGCAGGAGCATCGGGTTCAGGTAGAGGAGTGCAATCCACAAGAGCAAGGGCGCCAGCAGCAGCAGCAGCAGTGGTGGCAAGAAGCCGGGGAATGAGGGCGATGAGAGGGATGGGGCAGAGACAAGCGGCGGCCGTGTGGGGAAGCAGAGGGAGAAGGCTGGTGGGTGGTGTGGGCGTGGGAGTGGGGCGATGTGGAAGGGGTGGAAGAAGGAGTAGAGTGGGGCGAGGTGTTGGAGTAGGTGTGGGGGGAGAGGCAGCAGTAATGGCAGACACGGGAGCGGGAAAGGCAGGACTGGTGGGAAGTGAGGGGGGTTTGGGGGAGAGTGCGGGGCTGCAGGGAGTGAGTGGCGCAGGGGAGGAGGAGGGTGCGGGCATAGCTAGGGTAGGGCGGAAGAGGAGGAGAGGGATGTCTATTGGCGAGACGGGGAATGCAGTGATGCGAGCAGCACCAACAGGATCAGCACCAACAGGAGCAGCAGCAACAGCAGCAGCAGCAGTGGGGGGGAAATCCGTGCCGCAACGATTACAAGCAACTTCAGCAGATTCTCTTACTGACCCTGCCACAGCCCCTCCCTACAGCCACCATGGTACCACCTCCATACAAGCACATCCCCGCCCCCTCTCCACACGCACGCTCCGCTCCTCCTCTTATCCTGTGCCAACAGAGCCAGGTTCGGATGACGAGTCCTCGGAAGACCTTGGGGATCCGAGCGTGGGGTCGCCAGGCAGCTCGGGGGGGCTGCCTCGGATCCTGTCTCTGGGGGGGCTGGAGGGGATGGAGGGGATGGGGTTTGAGGGGTTCGACGGGGAGATAGACCTGGAGGACATGGGGGAGCTGGACGATGCTGGCCTGGGGTTTGACTGATGGGGCTGGGCTGGGCTGGGGTGTCTCCACGTGCAGTTGAGTCGACTCAGAACACACCAAGCAGCTTGTGGGGCTGCCTCGGGTGCTGTCCCCGGAGGGCCTGGGGTCCTGGTGGGCCTGGGCGGACTGGAGGGGATGGAGGGGATGGGGGAGATGGAGGGGATGGAGGGGATGGAGGGGATGGAGGGGATGGAGGGGATGGAGGGGATGGAGGGGATGGAGGGGATGGAGGGGATGGAGGGGATGGAGGGGATGGAGGGGATGGAGGGGATGGAGGGGATGGAGGGGATGGAGGGGATGGAGGGGATGGAGGGGATGGGGTCTGAGGGGTTTGATGGGGAGGTTGATCCGAATGACATGGGGGAGTTGGATTGGATGATGGGGGGCTTGGGTTTGAGTGATGCTTCAGGGTTTGGGTTTGGGGTGATGCTTTGGGGTTGGGCTTGAGTGGTCAATGGTCATGCAGGGTTCTGCTTTGGGTGATGATGGGGGTTGAATTTGGAGTTCTGTCTGTATCCTTCACTGGGGTGTGCAGGTAAGAGTGCGTGCCCATTTTTAGCTGTTCTTTTGCGGGGGTAGTAAGAGCCTTGCACATTGAAATGTTTGGCTTAGTCTGCACTAGTCAGTTTAGGACCATATGGTGGCCAGAAGAGCAGAGTACTGCTCATTTCGTATTCATTCTGCTGTTGATCATCGTATGGCCCTCTGGTATTCTTTGTTTAGTTAATTTCATTGCTTTTTGTATGGTGGACTGGATGGACGGTTCATCTTTCTTGTGTTATACAATATGATGCATACGATACTATAGTTGAAGTGGGGTAGTCTTGTAGCGCCATCATTGGTGTCGTCTAGTTTTCCAAGTATTCGTACATGATATGCCCCTCTCGTATAATGTAACACTGCTTATCTATATCAGAAAACCTCCCCCGCCATGTGATCATTTCCCTTTAGCTAGCAGCCTTGAGTGCGACATCCCATGAGCCTCGCAAAGTTGACTAGAATGAGGCAAACAGGATGATTTTGTTGAAGTGGTTGTACCCTCTAAGAGCATGCACCTATCTAGCCTATTATAACATACGCAAATATGTTTGACACACCCCCTAGGCTAGATGACGGGCAGTGCCTGGAAAGAGAGACACAGCTCAGGGTGGCACTACTAGTCCAACCTCTGAGGCAAGGGTCCGAAGACCAGTCAACAAGAGTACAAGCTAAACAAGAGCAACCCAGGGCGGTACTACTAGTCCAGCCATTAGGACAGGAGCCACAAGGCCAGTCAAGAGAATATAAAAGGAGTACACAATCAGGGTCCTAGCAAGTGAGAAGCTATAGGAACTAGACCAAGCTGTACCCAGTGCCGCTGATGATCTTTAGGCGCAAGCGCCATAGTAAAGATATCAGCTGTGTTGGCATCGGAGGCCAAGTGTACTACGCAGGCCTCGAGGAGCTGCTGCAGCTAACGTAAGAGGAAGTACCGCAGCTAGATGTGCTTCGCTCTGCCCTTTAGTCGAGGCTACTGGCACATGAGGATCATGGCCCTGTTGTCAGCGTACAGAACTGGGGCAGAGCTAGGCCGCTCACCTAAGTCTGTGAGCAAGAAAGTCAGCCAGCGGAGCTCCTGTGCTGCCATGGCACCGACGTAGATCTCAGCCTCGCAGCTGGACTGTACAACAGACGACGAGCGGGTGGACCTCCACGAGATGGCGCCTGCACCAAGGCAAAAACAGTAGCCCTGAGAGGACCCGAGCATCGTCAGCCCACGAAGCGTCTGTGTGCCCTGTCAGGACCACTGGCCTGCATCCTCCTAGAACTAGCCCCATGCCCGATGTAACTGCTAGATAACGCAAAACCTTCTTAGCTGCCGACCACTGCTGTGGTCGGTGTCTGCCTGTCGCTACGAACCGGGCCAGAAGAAGACGACGAGAAGAACTGCAGACGACGAAAAGAACTGCAGGTAAGCCAATGTAGCGCGTAGTGTGTCGTGCCACTCGCGCGGCGCCTGCCGCAGGCCGTAAACAGGGCGTCGGAGGAGCCACTGGGTCCCCGGGGCGAAGGTGCCAGTGAAGCCTGGCGAGCGTCGCAGGTAGACCTGCTCGTGCAGACTACCCTGAAGAATCGCTGTTGAGAAGTCAATAGAGTGCAGCTCTTAGTCACGCTGTGCTGCTACGTGTAGCAGCGCTCGAAGAGTAGTCATCTTCGGGGTCGGAGCGAAGGTCTGAAAGAAATTAACACCCTCGTGCTGACTGAAGCCTCTAGTAAGGTAGCGCTCCTTGAACACCGGCGGCTCTCCCGGGGGCTGCTTCACCTTGAAGAGCCACCGGCCATCGACTACGTTCACCCCCAGGTGGGGGAACTGCATCGACGTAAATGCCAGTGGATCTCCAAGATGCCATATCTACGTCCATGGCAGCTATCCACTGAGCGGCCCAGGGTCCCGAGGTTGCCTCAGCGTAGGTGCGAGGTGTCAAAGGCATTTGGGTCACCCTCACGGACTAGCAGCAAGGAGCAGAGATGAGGTGCGGCCTTGGACAGGAAAGCAAGCTCGTACTGCCGGTCCTCTAGGATGTCACTGCCAAGGGCAGGAGCACCCCCGACGGACAGAGGACGGACAGGGTCAGAGACCAGAGTGGTGGTGTAGTCAAGGCGGCGGGAAGAGGCGAAGTCAGCGACAACAACGATAAGAGCATCAAGACTAGAGACAGGAACAGACGGGTCGGTAACGAGGGAGGCAAGGACTCGAGGAACAAGAGGACAAGCAGCATGAAGGTAGTCAGACAGAGGGGGAGGCGCGACAACGAGCGACGACGGAGGAGGCGAAGGCAGGAGAGGAGGACAAGACACGTGCGGACGTAACAACATAGGGTGAGAACGCTGAATAGGAGAGACAGGACGAGCCAAGAGGGACGGCGAGACCAGACGTGAGACGGAGGCGTCAGGTCAGGAGACATAGGAGGAGTAACAGGAGGTGAACGAGGTGGGAAACGGGCCGGGGGCGAGTCTGGCGGAGGAAACATAGGACCGTGGACAGGAAGGGGAGGAGGCGGCGGGGGAGGCGCAGGCGAGCGGTCAGGAGAGGGAAGGCCGAGCAGGCGAAGGGCGGACACCGGCGGCGACTGCTCCTGCTGCTGCTTGACGCCGACACCTGGACCGCCAGCTGCACCGCGACGACCCCTGGAACACTTCACTACAGCACCCTCAAAACGAGCACCCCCAGAGCGAGAACCCTCTCCAGCATCGGTGCCACCCCCGAGCCCGCCGGGACAAGCCACGACAGGAACCCCAGGACTAGCACCCTCCTCAACGCTAGCACCCCCAGAGTCCACGAACGGCTGCTGCTGTAGCGATGGCGGCGGCTTCTGTGACGGCGGTGGCGACGGCTGATGCGGCAGCAACGATGGCAGCTGCGGCGGCGGCGGCGACTACGACGGCGGAATAGGAGACACTGGGGAAGAGACAAGCGGCGAGAACTGCGCCATAGGGCCACCAGAGTCAGTCGGCTCCTTGACCGGGACACCCGACTGGAGGGGAGTGACGTGAGACACACCAGACGAAGCAGGACAGGGAGGAAGGTGAGTAGGGGCTTCCGGGGGAGTGGGGACCAGAAACAGAGGAGGGGAAACTGGGAGACCTCGGTGGGAAAAGCGGTGGTAAAAGGAGACAGACTCGTCGAAACTGGCGTCACGGGAGTGAAAGAAGCAGTGAGACGGCGGGTAGTAAAAGTGCCAATTAGACAAGTCCAGGGGGAAACCGAGGAAGATACAGGGGACAGTGCGGGCAGTGAGCTTGTCCGTGCCAGAGGCACGAACGTAAGCAAGGCAGCCCCATACATGGAACGCGGACGCGTCACCAGGGAACCCAGTCCAAAGAAGGGTCGGCGAAACCTGCGGCCACTGGGAGTGTGGCCAGAGGTTAGGCTGGTGAGTGGCGCAGCGAACGACGAACAGCCACATAAAATGGGGTGCACTAGCATTAATCATGGAGGTACGAGCCACATCCATGACCAAACTGATGCGTCGCTCAACGACCGACCCCATTCTGCTGCGGGGAGTCCGGTAGGGTGTACGACTGGGTGATGCCCTCCGCACGACAAAACTGTCCAAGCTGACTAGAGGCGAACTCGCCGCCACGGTCGGAGTGGAGACACAGCACAGAGTGACCGCGGTGGAGGCGTGCATTTACGACCCACGGGATAAGAACGCCAAGCACGTCGGCCTTCTGCTCCAGGGGAAACACCGTGGTGTAGCGCGTGTAGTCGTCAACGAGCACTAGAAAGTAGCGCTCGCGACGCGGTCGAGGGACGGGGGCTGCGCCCCAGACGTCCAGGTGCAGGGTCTGGAGGGGTGTGGTGGTGGGACGAAGCGAGGAGGAGTGAGGAGCATGGCGCAGCCAGCCATCGATGCAGAGCGTGCACGGCAGCGCAGGCAAGGGAGAGAGGGTAGAAAGTGACGTAGGGTGACCTAGGACAAGACCGTGCTGGGATATGTGACGCAGACGCGGGAGTGCGCGGTGACCTAGGCGGTGGTGCCACAGAAGCGACGGGTGAGTGAGTGACCAACACGAGCAAGCAGCGGCGACCTGGGTAGATGCAGGACCAGGGCGGGACGGTCCACCTGGGGGGGAAGCAGTCTCCAGCGTAAAGAGGCCAGACACCGGGTCCTGGGGGAACGTCGCAAGGGGGGAACCTGAGGCGGCCTCGGTAGAGACGGTGTACCGCTCGTGACCCAGGAACGTAGTGGTGACACCGAGGTCCTGAAGACAGCCGACACCAACTATGTTCCGGGAGAATGAGGGGATGTGCAGGCCTATAAGGGAACCCGAGGGAATCACTGGACATGGAAGGGTAGTGTAGCTGCGAGCAACTACAGGGCCAGAGGAGGGGTCAGCAAGTGCGACAGCAGTAGGCGCGGCAAGCGGCGTAAGCGCAGCGTGGTCGCGGAAGAAGCAGGCAGATGCACCAGATTCAAGTGTTAAGGACAGCGAAGCGGTAGCAGTGGACGAAGGAGGAGGAAGGGTAGAGCCTAGGCTAGACAAAGCAAATGGTCCTACACCTGACGCAGCAGGGGTGTCTGTACTACACAAAGGTGCTACGCCTATGCTAGAGAACACAGGATAATAAGATCCAGACACACTAGATGCATCAGCATACAGAGAATGCAGGGCAAAACTAATCCAATCCATGTCTAACTCAAAAATAGGCACACTGTGGCGCAACAGACTGGGCCAGTCAGGGAGGTCTGGGGCCGGGCCGAAGCGGCGGCGGAAGAGGTCGTCGAGGCGGCGGAAGCAGCGGGCGGTCGGGTGCGGGCGGCAGCATTCAGTGCCATGGAAGGGCCCGGTCTGGAGCTGGTCTCTACTGCACGGAAGTGAGTGGCAAGATCAGCGACAGTTGGGAAAGCAGAGAGATCGGGGGAGAGCATGGGGAGGATCAAGCGTCCAGCTGAGGCGGAGGCAGGCGTGGAGTAGCGTGCAACTACTGCATCTAGGAAGTCTTTGGCGTTTGCGACAGCAGTGAAACGCGTGCGCTCAGATAGGAGAAGCACATGACTAATGGCAAGCTGCGCTACAGCATCGCGAGAATCTCAGATAGCGCGAGCGAGCACAGCAGCAGCAAAGGCCTCACTCTCAACAATGGTGGGGTCAACATGAAGGGGATCAGGCGCGGGGGGGTGGGGAAGCAAGCCATCAACATGCATAGCCAGGGAGTGCCCATCATGGTGCTGACCTTTCAGGTGCCGGCGAAGATCGACAAGCCAGGCCGCGAAGTCGATCGCGTGCCCCTCCGCGTACTGACGTGGCATGGTGTCCGCCATCACGCAACCGCAGCAACACTAGGATACGGCAGCCCAGCAGCACAGGGGCACAGCGGCACAGCAGCACAGGGACACATGTTCTCAGCTGCATGGCGATACAGCGATGTGGCGGCAGAAC